CCTTCCATGAGCTTAAAAAAATATAAAGGTATATAAAAATAATTATATTTCACTTTATGGAGAGAACTCTAATATTAAATGATAAATAATTTTGGAAATTTAAATTTGATGTTATGATTACATTTTAAGGTATAATTGTATTTTTTGTCAATTTATTCTGTTTTTAACTATTTCTACGTGTTCATATTTTGATAAATTGTTCTATGATATATATTGCAATCACTTTAATCAATTCATAATAATTAAATTAAAACAGTAATAAAAATTAATTGAAGCCAGAATCGTTGCTATCATTGATGGAAGTTAGTGTACCTTTTGTTTATGAAACATTTTAAAAAATTTCTAATAAAGTGCTTCAGTCTAAAATGAGTTTTAGTTTATTTTTACTTTAACTTATAAATAAATTGTCCTGTCGTATATATGCTTTACCTGCTCCATATTCGAGCACATTTATGGTTAAAAGTAATATGCAATTTACATTTTATAAAATCTCAATGTTTTATATAGATATAGTTGCAACTTGCGCATGGCTAGATATGTTTTACATAATATTTATACGTAATAGTCATACTCATGGACATTCTAAAATGAAAATTGTCAACGGTTATTTCTTGCTGGCAAGTGCAGGCACTGTTGCAAATTACATATCGGGCACTTTTTTGCGAAAAAGTGACACCAAGTTATGTACCATATAAAGTAGAGCAAACCGCATCGTAAAATGAAAAAAAAATAGTATTAGAAAAAAATTATGGACAACAATAATGTTGCAATAACTGGGTAATTTAAAGTTAAAATATGATAATAACTAGAGGTTGTTTTTTTATAAAAAAAATCCAAATGGTGCGACCGCAATAAGCAAACAATAGTACAGTACAGCTTAAAAGAATTCACAACTATTTAAAAAAAAATAATTTAATTCTTTAATTTTATTATTTGATTTATTTTAATTTTATTATTTGATTTATTAAAATTTAGACTATAAAAATAAGAAAGAATTTGGGTTTGGGCAATTAAATCAGTTAAATGCCATTTATTATATATGAACTTCCAAGTAGATCATGTTTAGAAAAGTAAAGATTTGGGAAACTGATTTTTCTTATTTGTTCTCTTAGTAGAACAATTTTTTCTTATTTTCTTTACCTATACTAAAAGTCAACATGTTCAAAAGTATGCCAAAGAAACATTTTTTAATATAATTGTTTATACTATGAGATGTATGTATGTATGCTTATAAACGAATAATATTTTTTTAGCATGCTGACGTGTATATTACAGGTGCAAAATTTTTATTATATATGGAACAATATCATTAAAATTTTAGAGCAATTTCTGATGTCATAAAAAAGCAAAAGTCCTATTTTGAATAAACGATAATTTAATAAAATATAATTTATTTCTACAAAAAAACACAATTGTAATAAAGATTTACGTTGTTCAATAATAATTGAAACGAATTAATAAAACAGTTAAAATCTTTTCAAGACATTTTTAAACGTAGCAAAGTTTGGCCGCATCCTGACCAAATCTATTTTGGATGAATAAACAATTATTTACTAAAATGTAATTTATTTCTACAAAAAAAAACACAATTTTAATAAAGATTTATGTTGTTCAATGATAATTAAAATGAATTAA